TTCCTTAAATTCAAGGTATTTCCTATTCGGTTTATTTCTATGGCTTCTCTAATTTTACGTTTAGCCGCAACCATGCCATAATCAGCAAAACGACAAATTTGAGACCATTCAATCTCGTGTCCAGTTTCTGCCCTGTGCTCAGCAAGCTCTGATTTTTGAACCCAACAACCTTTGCAGGCGCTTTTGTGTCCAGTTACTTTTTGTCGAATGGGACGACAAGTCTCTCCAACATAAAAGCGACCACATGAACACATTATTTTGTAGCAACTTTATCTGGACAATGAGTCAACTTTCTTTCTGAAAGTGGGCATAACTGAAGAAAGTGTCGTAGTTTACTCTCCACTTCCTTACTTGCTCACCTCTCCTTTTAGAGAGAATGTACAAGGGTAAAGACAAAACATGAGAGAAGGTCTCCTTATCTCTCCTTACATATTCACCATTCAAAAGGCTATTCTTTATTAATCTAGTGTTATTTTCAATCAAGCCTAGGAGATAATTATTTGCAAGACATATTATTTTAAGCCGATTCAGTTCATTATCACAATGGCCTACTACGGCTAGTCTTATGCTCCGATTAATCATAGATTTTAAAACTCCAAACTTTGTTTTGTAACTATGATTGTAGAAGAAGTTAAGTATAAAGCCAGCATGTGTTGGTTTTCTATAGACATTCCAGCTTAACTTCTCACCTGCTCTGATCATTAAGGCATCTAAAAAGGGTAAAGTATTTTTGACCTCCATCTCCATTGTCAACTTAATATTGAAGTCAATCTGGTTAATTAAAAACAAGAAATTATCTAAACAATCCTTGCCATGCTGCCATATGGCAAAGTAGTCAAATATATATCTAACTAACAGTTTGGGTGTCAATCTTACCTTTTTCTACATTCACATGAATTCTTCACTGAATATTTTAAATATTCGGCCAATTTCCTTAGTTGTCTACATAAGAAACGTGATATCCTATGCATCACAGTACATTTGTTATTAATGATCAATCTTAAAGGAACCCTTTCCTTGTGCATTTTTGGAAGGTCGTAAGCCGAAGGTGCCATTGCATCCCTCTGAAGAAGTGAATCAATTTTCCACTTCTCAATTTCTCCTCTGCTTACACAAACGCTAAGCGATTCCCTAAGTCTGGTTTTAAGACTTTCTGTGAGATCCTTCAGTAAAAGTCTGTAAGTTCTGAGTCATTTTAATGAACCATCATTTTTTCTATATACCGTATTTTCCGGCGTATAAGACGACTTTTCACACAATAAATTTCTGCTCCTAAGTGGGGGTCGTCTTATACGCCGAGTGTAGTTTAGGGATCGCTAATTATACTATGGTTCCGAGTTCCTCTTGTGCCCTTTACCTCTTTACAAAATCTATATTTTAACTGGAAAAGTCAGGTGGTCGGCTTATACGCCCAGTCGTCTTATACGCCGGAAAATACGGTAACTTAACCTATCCATGATTACCACTGCATCACCTTTATCTGCCTTTAAAACAAACAGGTCATTTTGGTGCAAATATCTAGAAATTGTATTCAAGTCATAAGATTTATTTGGACCAATTACTTCATCAAAATCAGGAATCACTTCTCTTTCTATACTATTCTTAGCCTCTTCTGGCAGTTTGTTTGTTAAGCTAATTATCTCAACCAGTATATCCATAGAGTGATTTTGCTCATTTGGAAATGCGAAGTATATACTCCTTTTAAAGACGAGCGTAACATTAACATCTATAGATATACTGGATAAATTAATGATTTTATATTTTACTAGAAAAAATATTACTAAGTTTAACTACCTCCTTATTGTTTCTACGATTCTTTTGGCTGATTTTGATGCCTAAATTCCTTAATTTCTTATTATTTCGGGATCTATGGATCTTATCAATCCTACTATATGCGAATAAAAGTTGAGTTTCGAGGAAACTCTTGTTTTATAATTTCTGAGGTTACTTCCATTTCGAGTGAAAGCGTGTAGGAGGAGATTCGAAGGTCGACTCCACCAAAAGGCGACGGCAGATTTCTCCTGACCAGCCGTCGACTGGCTTTACTGGAATATTCATGCTGACGCTTTTTCCGAGGTAGTCCCTTTCGATTCCGGTCAAAAGATGCCAAGCTTTCGTCCGTCATGTGACGAACATCATCAGAGCAAGGTATCATCTTCACAACCAAATTCAAGCTAGCGAGTCAAGAAAACTTAGCGAAAGCTTAGCACCTTTTCACCGTAATCGAAGGAGATTACTTCGGAAACAGCTTCGCATGAATGCTCTAGTAAATCCAATCGACAGCTGATAGAGAGGAATCCGCCGCCGTCTTCTGGTGGAAACGACCTTAGAATCTCCTCACCCAACACTTTCACTCAAACCGCGGTTAGCTCAGCAAAGTGAGTTTCCATGAAAATTACTAGCCTGTGTGAAAGTCAATTGCTTCGATAGGCGTATTATCTCCATGTGCAAAAATGCATCTAAAGCTTACAATTATGAAACAAGAGCTTTCTCGAAATCTACATTTTCTTAGCATATGTTAATTTATTGCCACTTAATGCAAATTTGAGCTCTTAGTCTAAGAAGTAATTGTGACTTCCGAATTGTTTGTTATATATATATGGATGAATAATTTGTCCTTTTGCAAAATTTCAAGGAATGTTTAGATAGTTTCCTACGTTCACTTAACCAGAGTCAAGAAATATTAAGTTCACATTGGAATTAGAAGAAAATAAGATGGATGTTATGCTTATTAGGGAAGATGATAAGTTAGGCAGAGATGTTTGTAAGAAAGTAGCATATGCTTGTTTTGCTTTTAATATTTTTCCTAACAATAGTTACAAAATTAAAGTTGGCATTTTTTAAATCTATGACTATGAGGCTTGCGGATGGAATTCATCTTACCGAAGAGTTAAGAAGACTAAAAAATGTGTCTCCAGAAAATTATTATCCACCAGGTTTAATTTGCAATATTATCTTTTTAATATGGAATACATTTTCAAATGGAGACTATTTGGTCAAAGGTAGACAAGCAGAGACCGTTTCTCATGTCCTATTCTACTCTTTCCCTTTTCCAAGAAGATAGCCAAACCAGTATAAAAAGGGGGGGATAAAGACAGTTTTCCTATAAACTCTGGTACTGTCTTAGGTTGCGCCTTCTTTTAGAGATAAATATGAGCCATTATCAAAATCCGGCTGTTACAAGATTGTGTGCTCCTGTGGTCGACCTTATGTTGGAGAGGCGTGTCGGCCAAGCTGCTAAAAGTTAGCGGAGCTGAACACGGGGCGGAGACTGAATATTAGATAGTATAATCTCATATGCATAAGTTTGCTGATTATGGTAGTTCTGTTGTTAAAAAGAAGATAAGAGAATCTATTTAATGTGAGGAACGGTGGTAAAAGTTAAGTAAGAATTACTTATGCTTGAGTAAAAGATTGAAGGTCATTCAAAAAAAGGCGGCTCAACTTGCCAGCTGATTGGTGGTTCTGACCAAATTTGCAGTCGTTTCACAACCAAAACAGAAGTAAGAAATTACGCAATCCCAGTCTTGCTATTCTTTGGGTCATTGAACCTCGATTACTTCATACTAACGGGCTATGATTGGTAATTTCTTAACCTGGTTTTCAGTGGTACAGACTTACCTCCCAACAATTCAACCAAAGCTAACTATGGTGAACCGGACTCTTTTTGATTACTGTGAGTTATGACCGATACTGCGGGTATATGTTTACACACGTATACGCGTTTGAGAGAATTAACCAAACTATTCTATATCCATCAATCTTTAAATATTTTTTCCTTATTTGTTTATATATTATGTAGAAAAGAGCAGTTCAGTCTTCTTAACTTTGTGTTCATTTTGAGACTTTTGCTAGAATGTGTCCCGCCACTCAGGATGCTCGTTTTATGATGAACGTAAGCTCAGCCGATTTTCGCTCGAAACGAGGAAAGATGCCTTGTGGACTGAGTCAGCCTGAACGTCGTATTAAAGCCTTTCGATTGCAGTACAACGGTAATCAGCCGTCGTCAACTGGTGAGATCTATCTGCGACTCTCTTCATAATCAATATTCATACGAAATAAAAATGTTCACAACTTGTAGTTGCTGATTTAGTCCATTCCGGATAAAAAAACCTTTTCATGAATAAGGGCTATGAAATTAAATGGCATCGTAAAACGTATTCATTTTACCGTTGTAAAAGTAAACTTTTTTTATTTAGTATAGCTTATGCTACCCAGGTATATCCATTTCTTTATTCTGGCTAAAACCACTCGATTAATAGTTATAGTAATAGGTCTGAGAACTACTTTCAATGAATATACAAAAGTTCAAGCATTGCCAATTCTTTAATATCATTAAAAGGGAAATTTTCTATTCTCATATTTACTACAAAATGAAGGCATTTTTTCGCATGCGCTATTCAACAACTGGCTCAGTTATTGTGTCGAGATGACCTCATTTTAGCAACTTAGTTGAGCGACAGGGAGACTTTATGGAACGTACCTATTTCCGCGTCCTCTGCCATAGTATTCAGGAAAATTTACAGCATAAGACCGTTGACTTGGTACATTTCCAGAAGTTTCACTATAATCGTCAGTAAAAGCCACTACTCTTAGCACAGAATCACAACTTATCAAATGGAAATACCCTCAAAAGAAAGTCAAGTTAGAACAGCTAATCAGGTTCACCTATCAAGCAATAATAAAAAAGTTTACAAGATTCTAGGTAATTTTAACTTTATGTTGGTATATCTTCTTTATAGGAAATATTTCTCAAAGTCTTTGGATCCCAATTATATTAAAGGGTCCAACCGCCTTCAACTTTGTGTATAAGGATGAGATGATCAAATTCCTGGGTTGAGCTCACTAAAAATAGGAGTTATTGAGCTTTTTTGGACAATAATACTTCCGCAGTCTTCGAAAAAGACCACATCACTTTCGACTAAAACTTGATATTTTCTCTGTCCAGTTGCGTGGCAAAAATAATGAGGTCACTGCGGATTTGTACCCACAAGCAAATACAATAATAAAAAATGTATGAATGTCTGCACAAATAACAAGAGTAAAATGAACTAGCCAGATCATTTTATACCTCCGGAAATTTATATAAGTATGAATCAGTAAGATTTATCGAACCTTTTGTCAGCTTAAGGCTATTGTAAGAAGGAGATTCAGCCTAGGCCGTATGCAACTGAACCAAGGGAGTATATCTTCTAGACTGTGATAGCAAAATACCGCAGAGCAACAAAACTCAGTTGTCGGTTTCCGGTGAAATAAGATTAAGCGAATCTTGTTATCAGGCAATAAATACAAGACGTTCGAAATCGAAACCAACCTAGAGAATTAGATGAAGTATTTTTTGCTAAACTTATGCCAAATTCTGGTGGTAACATTGCCTTAAGTTTAAAGACATTGAAAAATTTACAACCTTATAGAACAAAGTAACATATCCACCTCACATAACCCTACTATCTTAGTTTCGGATATAATCAGAAGAGGGGAGAAAATGCGTTAAAACGGCAGATGGAAAAGCACATACATGACAACCCGGATAGGCGGTCTCCTGTTATCATCGTGTGAAAAGGTCTTTCTCTATCTCTGCCATAGTTTTATATAATTTCGCGTATTAAAAGGAAAAGTTTTAATGGAACTAGGAATAGTTATCTATACAAATAGGAGCAGTAGAGATAGACTTGAAATATTGGCTTCAAATGTTTAGACCGTATTATATGAGGCCGTAGAGATAGACTTGAAATATTGGCTAAAAATGTTTAGACCGTATTATATGAGGCCAATTGCGTTCCTCGAAAGTGTCTGAACTAGCAACTTGCAGGAAGTGATAGTGTATGTATATTGACCAAAGACATGGGTTACTTTCTGAGAGGAATCCGAAAAGCGGTCTTACTTGTTTATATCAATCTATTCTCCTCGAAGCGGCCTATTCAAATCAAGTAGAACCATCACTTTTAGGGGTTGGCACTCAATAGAATGTCATAAACGAGCGAGAAAAACGGTGGAGGTCATTTATAGTCGGCTATTGGTAGATAAGTTTGCTCAAAGACGTGGTCCATGAAGTAAAGGCTCTACCAGAAAATTTACTCGGTGCACAAGCCGCACAATGCTAAGGGAATCTGCAGCGTCAATTTAGGTTGTCATGCCAAATTAGAATCCAGACTAAAGGGGCTTGCGCAGTAAGACTGGTGTATACGTGTTATCAAAGGCTTGAGGCAGAGTGTAGAAGAACGTCTTGAAAGTAGCAACAGTACGGGAGCAGCGATGGGGTGAAATCACTGGAGCAGGCAGATAAGTGAAGGATCCTACGGAACAAAACGGGACTCTGATAGGACCCGAAGATAGAGGATTGCGGATTAAACCGCAGCCTTGAATCAACACTCTCAGCACAGTGGGAGGGATGTGGAAACCAGCGGGGTGTGCGAATAGATTTCAAATAGGTTTTGATAAACAAGTAAGCAATTGTGATATTAAAGGCGTGATACGAGGATATGGGAGAGGTGAATAGCCCAGGACAGAAGGAGAGATACCACAACTGTTTAGCACACATTTGGTGAAAGGATCGACTTTACTTGTCTGTTTGACGAGTTTTAGTTGCCGACTAGGATGCCGGCGAAACGTCTGAGAATGTACCAAATAGACGGTCCGACTCTGGAAATTATCTTGTATACTATAGATTCCGAACAAAGTACGTTGCTCTAGGTCTTCCTGCAGATATGATCAATTTGCGAAAACAAAGCCAAACAACTTCTAACAAAATGTATGTTGTTCTTTCCTTTCTTTCGTTTATTTAGGGCAGGTTGAGAGGATTCATAGAGCGGCCACCACGAAAACTGGAAGAGAATTTCCTAAGGTTAAACTACCCCCAACACCGGTAAGTCCCGTTACCTCTCAGCCTGACTTAGGAGCACCACAGGTACTGAGCCATCACATTCTCGCCACTTCTATTCGAGCTTCTTGTTAGGTCGTCCAGACTTATCTATCAGATCAGGCCAAGAGACAAGTCTTGTCTCTTTGACGAGTTCGTATCTTGGTGCCGAGAATAGCAAGGTTCACTGATGATGCCGACTACGAGGCCGGCGAAACGTTTGAGAATGTATCAATTCCACGGTCAGATGCTGGGAATCAAGATGACTACTATG